GCGGGCAGAAGAGGAAAGAGCTCGCGGGCGCTGCCATGGCTGCCAATGCTCACAATTTCATAAGGCAGCTTCCTGAAGGCTATGAAACCAAGGTAATTAGTTCTTATGAAGAGGTAAAGTTTGTTTTTAGTGATTATCATGAAGAGATTATAAAGGCAAAGTTTTAAGGCTTCTTTTCTTTACACTTCAAATGCTTTATGTTAAGCTTGAATGTTTTTAACAAATGAGCCTCAAGAGAGATAAGGCTTTCTTTCGTTTTCTTTTGGTCAACACAATGAAGTAGTTCCGAGAGGAAAAAAGAACCAAAAGGGAAGCAAAGTTCAAGAGATAATTTTGTTTCGCAGTTAAATTCTCATGAAGTAAGAGAAAGCGTTGTATGTGCTTTAACTTGCCCCAGCTTTTTAGGCAAAAAGTAATGCATCAAAAGACTTCTATTTGTTATAATACTAGTATCTTGATTTTGATAACATGGGTATACTTTATTGTAACTTGACAAAATATTAAATGTGACAGATTGGAGAGAGAGGAGCACTTTTATCAGGTGGACAAAAGCAGCGGATTGCCATAGCCAGGGCAATCATCAAGAACCCTGTGATTCTCCTACTTGATGAAGCAACAAGTGCACTTGATTCTGAATCGGAAACTCTGGTCCAAAATGCTCTTGATCAAGCTTCCATGGGAAGAACCACCTTGGTAATTGAGTCACATATACGTGTTATTTACTTTATATTTTTTGTTTGAATATCGAGCATTTGAACTCGACACTTTAAGATGGATTTGGTGTGAATTTACTGCTAAACTATGCTTGCACTTATACAGGTGTTTAGTTAATTAACCTTGACAAACATTTGGAGTTCCTTGTATTTTCATGCACTTGTTAGGGTCAAACATGATTCATGGCAGGATATTCACTGAAATTTCCTTTTTTTTTTTTTTTAAATGATCAGGTGGTTGCACACAAGCTCTCCACAGTTCGAAATGCCGACCTAATCGCGGTGGTGAGCGGCGGCTGCATAATCGAGCTAGGCTCACACAACGACCTCATCAACCGCGACAATGGCCACTACGCGAAACTCGCCAAAATGCAGAGACAATTCAGCTTCGCGGTCGACAACAACGACCAATCAGACACCTCTGGCCTAGTCTCGTCCGTCACGAGAAGCAGCGGCAGGCAAAGCACCGCCAGGTCAAGCCCATTAGTCTTCTCAAAATCACCAAACCAGTCCATCGAAACCACCCCGCAGCACAAAATTTCCCACCCAGCGCCTTCCTTCACCCGCCTTCTGTCCCTAAACGCCCCCGAGTGGAAGCAAGGCCTCATCGGTAGCCTTTCCGCCGTTGCATTCGGGTCAGTCCAGCCCACCTACGCCCTAACCATCGGAGGCATGATCTCCGCCTTCTTCGCCCCAAGCCACGACGAAATGCGCGACCGAATCCGCACATACTCCTTAATCTTCTGCTCACTCTCCGCCATCTCCATCATCCTAAACCTTCTACAGCACTACAACTTCGCATACATGGGAGCGAGACTAACAAAACGGATCCGAATTCGCATGCTGGAGAAGATCCTGACGTTCGAAACTGCCTGGTTCGACGAGGAAGAGAACTCGAGCGGCGCATTGTGTTCAAGACTAAGCAACGAAGCTTCAATGGTGAAATCCCTCGTTGCAGACAGAGTCTCCCTCCTCGTCCAAACGACATCCGCCGTCACGATCGCCATGATCATGGGGCTAGTCGTTGCATGGAAGCTCGCGCTCGTCATGATCGCCGTACAACCCTTGACAATCCTCTGCTTCTACACGAGAAAAGTCCTCCTCTCAAGCATGTCGTCCAACATCGTCCGGGCGCAACACCAGAGCACCCAAATCGCCGTCGAAGCAGTTTACAACCACAGAATCGTGACGTCGTTCGGAATCGTCGGGAAAGTTCTGGAACTTTTCGAGGAGGCGCAGGAGGCGCCGAGGAAGGAGGCGAGGAAGAGGGCGTGGATGGCGGGGATGGGGATGGGGTCGGCGCAGTGTTTGACGTTCGTGTCGTGGGCGTTGGATTTCTGGTACGGAGGGAGGCTTGTGATGAAAGGGGAGATATCGGCGGGAGATGTTTTCAAGACGTTCTTCATATTGGTTAGTACTGGTAAGGTCATTGCCGAGGCTGGGAGTATGACTTCCGACATCGCAAAGGGCTCCGCCGCCGTCACCGCCGTGTTTCGGATTCTTGACCGGAAATCGCATATTTCCGGATCTGATAATGTGAGTATCCACTCTAAACAACTCTAATTATCACAATTACATTTTAGTCAATCAGTAGCTTTGAGAAATGATCAATTTTTTATGTTTTTTTTTTTTTTTTTAAGGTTGATAGTTGATTAACTGATGAATCATTGATTTACATGTGTTAAAGACTTACAGATATTAGTTAATCATTGATTGACCATCAAGTGAATGTTGATCATTTTTCAAAGAAAGGGTAGTTTTCGTGAATAACAAAACTTGAAATGTCTACTACAACACTCCTAGCTTCTAGAAGGATCACTTTCCCACATATGCCTAACTCAAAGCACTGGAACTAAGCCTTACTTGAATCGAAAAGTTTGTACCTTGTACTGTTGCACTAAGATTTATCATATCATCTAAATTTAAAATAACCAAAACTACTAAAACGGATTTTTCAACACAAAAATTTATGTGATCTGATAAATCTTAAGGCCTGTTTAGTTCGCTGATTCAAATTTTTAATTCGAGTTGAGATGTGATTTTATGTGAGAATTTTTTACCGTAGTAAAAAAGTTAGATATGACTGTTTATGAGAGTTTTTTTACTATAGCAAAACTCGAATTCTAAATTCAAATCGGTGAAATGAACGGGGCCTTAATTAGTGGCGTGACAAAATAGTATAAACGTGAGATTTTAGTGAATTTAGAGTTTTCCTTTGTTGAATGTACTAGGTTTGACATGATTTTATAATTATTAGCAGGGCACGGATGGCAATAGTGGAACCAAGTTAGAAAAGATAACGGGAAGGTTAGAGATGAAGAAGGTTGATTTTGCATATCCAAGCAGGCCAGAGACACTAGTATTGCGGCAATTCAGCCTAGAGGTGAAGGCAGGCACAAGCATTGGCTTAGTTGGGAAAAGTGGGTGTGGGAAATCAACAGTAATAGGATTGATTCAAAGATTCTATGATGTTGGGAAAGGTTCGGTCAAAGTTGACGGAGTGGACATAAGAGAACTAGATATTCAATGGTATAGGAGACACACTGCATTGGTTAGCCAAGAACCTGTCATATACTCCGGCAGCATTCGCGACAACATCCTATTCGGCAAGCTTGATTCGTCGGAACATGAGGTTGTGGAGGCTGCTAAAGCCGCCAATGCGCATGAATTTATCTCGTAAGTAAATCTTGTTTGTTGTTACCGGTTTTTCTGTTATTGTGTTTGCTGTTGATTGTCTTTTAAAATTCTTTTAAGGGATTTGAAATCACTCGTTCAATTTATTCTCATACGTCTTGAAATCCTTCTATTAACGTACAATAGACAATAACGATATTACTTGGCGTGTGAAAATAATGGCATTTCGTTTCTTGCGAATGTGGTATAGTTCATTGAAGGACGGGTACAAAACCGAATGTGGAGAGAGAGGAGTGCAGTTTTCAGGAGGGCAAAAGCAGAGGATAGCGATTGCGAGGGCAATAATTCGGAATCCGACCATACTACTATTAGATGAGGCAACAAGTGCTCTTGATGTGCAATTAGAACAAGTTGTGCAAGAAGCGCTTGACCGAATCATGGTCGGAAGGACCACGGTTGTGGTGGCGCATCGGCTTAACACCATCAAACAATTGGACTCCATTGTGGTTGTCGCCGACGGGATGGTGGTGGAGCGAGGCACCTATGCTCAGCTCAAGCACATGAAGGGTGCCTTCTTCAACCTTGTTAGCCTTTCAAACTTAGGTCCGACTAATTAGACATTTGATGTGTCACAAATATATAATATTGATATGGTCTATATTTGCCTTAAGAGTTTATAGTATCGGGCTTCCAAAGTGTAGACACTATGAGTTGGGTGGGAAATTTGAGATTGTGCTGTTAGAGCTCTGTCAGTAGGAGTGGTTGAGGCCGTAGCCCAATTGAAATATGGGTTTTAGGACTGTTGGAAACAGGCCAATGATGGATCCATAGCTTGACATGGTCAGTTCTCTCCGGCGGCCCAAATGATGCCAATAAGGCCGTAGTTGTACTTGCAAGTGTTGCTTGGTCAAAAATATTATACGAAATATGGTAATGTCCTTGACGAATCTCTCTCTCTCTCTCCCCGGTAAAGGAGATCAACACAATGCAAACAACATACTTAGAAAATTAATTGGGTAATTTTAACAAATACCCCTTAAAATGGTACCATTAAAGATTTTTCAGTCCCAACTTTGACCTATTGAATTTTGCCCCTTTAAAGTAAATAATTTGACATATTATTATCGATAATTTGACAGATATTACCAGCGGCAGACGTAATTTAACAGATTATTATCTAAAATTTAATAAATTATTATTTATAATTTGACAGATTATTATTAAAGTGGTAGCATATCACAACAAAAGGGTAAAACTCCCGAATGATGTGTTTAAGGGTCGGTTTTTGCAATTTTCTCAAATTAATTCCAACATTGTAACAACTTACTAATACAGCTTTTTAATGGAAATATATTGTCTCTGAAAAGAAAGGAATTGCTTACTTAAACAAAAGAACAAGAAAGATGTGCACAAATTTATTTGTTTAGATCTATATTAAGGCTTTTGGCGCGTTGAGATTTTCTGGATAGCTCAACTTGTTTCCGCAGCTGAAGATAAAACCACAAAGAAATGAATCAGATTAAATTTACACAAGGATAAAGTATGAACTAAACTTTGCAAAACTTAATAGTCCTTAACTTTAAAATCAAGAGCAGTTGTCTTTGTTCTTAATTAAAAAGTGTCATATTTTAATTAACATTTTTAATAAGTTGAGTGACCATTTCTCTTAGTTTAGAACAAGAATTTTGTAGTACATTACTATAAAATCAATACAATGAATCAAATATGCTTTTCTGATAGTTTGATCGGAAAGAGACCTGGAAATAAGGCTCCAATCGTCCCTCCAAAGTGTCACGCTCCTTTTTGATGTGCTGGACGACAATCTTAGCCCTGCCACCATTCATTGATAACGGAGGGGATCAATTTGTAATACACATATATTTATACTTGTGTACTATATTTACCTATATATATATATATATTTATGCAAATATATCAATATATATACCCTAGTCGACTTAAACCCAATCAACTTTTGAATTTTTTTTTTCTTTTATAAATTTTGTCAAAAGTTTTAGTTAATTCAGTGACGCATTTTATTAGAAAAATTATGATTATTCCACACTGAATAACAGAAATATGTTGTTATATCCCCGTTTTATAAGAAAGAACTATACCCCACTCAATGATTGAATTATATATTTATGCATCCATTTAATAATATTCTATCTCTATTTTTTGTGCAAGCACTAGTGAATTTCCTTAATCTCTCCTTTAATGAAAATTTGTGATTAATTCGTTCTTCAATATATACGTATTATATTTATCATCTATATAAATCGATGTGTGAATAAGCAAAATTATTAATATATATATATATATATATAGACACACTATTCGACTTCAAACCAATAATAAATCTAGCTAGTAATGCAATAAATCGGAGTATAAATAATCAGTCGAGATTAATTACCCTTCAATGTCGCCCTTGTCGATGCATTCTATCAGTCGGACAACTTCATTCATTACCTTGATCGCACCAACACTGCTCACAATTATATGTATAATTAAGATCAGACATTGGTCATCATCACTAATTAATTAAAACGTGATAAAATATACTCTGAAGATAACAAATTAAAAAAAAATGATGAATGTTAATTAACTAATTAATAATATTAAAATATATATATACCTGCCGCTGCTACCTTTGAACTGATAAATGTGCCTTTTCAGATCAGAGAAATCGCTGGGGGGGTTCTCCCTGTGTTGACAACAGATTATAGATACATATAATAATTATTAGAAGTACTGTTATTATTATTGTAATTACTATTAATTCTTTAATTAATTAGTGCTACTTAGTTATAACTATACAAGCATTAATCTTGATTAGTACTACTCACAGTGCATCCTCAAAGATGGCTATCTTTTCAGCTGAGCTCTCAAAATACATGTTCATGGTATCCTCGACAAAGTTTGGTTTTTCTTTATTTTCCAATTCCAATGTCTCCAGTAGTCGGAAGTGAATATCCAGCATTTTCTGCAATATTCTCACAATAGTTTTATAAATCATATTGGAGCTTTACCATTCTAGCTTCTACTTTTATATATACATATACATATATATATATATATACACACACACACATATACATATATGTATATACATACAGTTTTGGCTAAAAAAACTTCTTTTCTTGACTAATAAATCTAATTTATATGTGTGTGTGTGGACCGTTCTATTTATGTCCATGCATGCAAATGGGGTATTGGGAATATGTCTTGGTACACACGTAAAGCCCCATTTTTGCTGTGTCAAAATTCAGGAGAATAATTAAATGTATCGTTACATATATGTAGGCAAGCAAATATTAATTCTCAAATTCAAATGGGACTTATAATACAATATATAAATTGCATAACATCTCATATTATAATATCTACGTGAATTTATTGTGATATATATACACCAAAAAGTGTGGGACAACTTTAATTAACAAGGAATTGTTGGATGCAGAAATCAACAAATAGTTAATGTTTTATCACTTAAGATGTAATGAAGATGAAATAATGTACAAACTATATATATATATATATATATGTGTGTGTGTGTGTGTGTAAGCAAGAGAAGAGAAAAACCTCATCAAGGAGGGAGTTCCTCATAATGGCAAGTTGTTCACGCAAAGGATCAGTAGAATTGGGCTCCATCTTCACTGAAAATAGATAATTACAACAAATTATAAGAGTAGGAGAACTAAATTATGAAAACATATAGTTGGAAGAAGTAGCTGTAGTTAACATGTCTATAAGCATGCAATAAATATTGTTAAGAAAGAATGATTACAATCTAAACAATGGTGATCTTTTGGCAACAATGATAGATTTTTCTTTCTCTGTTGAACAATCGTTAAAAAGAAATTTTAGGACATCGGCGATCATATAATAAGTTTTTGTATATAAAGATGTCAGGATACACAAGTGTGTATCATATTATGATACGTGCACATATACAAATTATATGTTACTTTCGGAAGATTTTCTTAAATTTTTTTTTTTGTTTGTTTTCAGCTTTGGGAACCAAATTAAGGATAGAAAATTCCCTTTAGATTTGCTTTTTAATCAGCTGAAAAATTACTAATATCTGCATATCTACTCTGCTGATTGTGAAATAAATGAATGGACATTTTCAGATTGATCTTTTCCTACTTTAGTAGATCATGATTCTAGATTTGAATTCAATTTAACAGAATCAACAGTTGTTAGTTTTAGATTGCTATAGCAAGTGGCAAATATAATGCATTTTTTTTTTTTTAAAAGGAGGTACTATCATCAATATATATAATTATGATTTCGTACTATATATGATAGCCGACGAACCTGAGCCTAAAACGACTTTGCCTAAAAGGGAGGGAAAG